CATGCGGGTCGCGCGCTGCGGCTTTCCTATGCCTGTGAGGACTAGGCGAGCAGGGTCTGTGTCATGCCGATCGTATGCGGCACGTTTCCTGGGGCGCGAGGAGTCCTGGTCGAGCGAGGAGTTCTGGTTGAGTGAGGTATGTCGGTGGCGAGTAGTGGTTTTCCAGCGGTGGTCGACGGCGACGGACGGCGGCAGTCGACTGAGGAAGGTGACTGGAAAATATGAAGGTTTGAGGTTTAATATAATCTCACCTTAAAATCTTCTAATGGATTACCCAAACACCTACTTCAATTAATCTTGGTGGAGCGATTAATTGAATCTCCCTAACTCTCAAATATATGAAGAATACGATTTTCCTCTTCCTTATAGGAACCTTAAAATCGTGTCTCACAAGTACATCTCAAGAGGTTGGGACATGGTGTATTTATAAGCTCCATTAGGGACCTTAAGGAGGTGCCAAATATGGGCTTATCCCATTAGGCCAAGGAATCCTAATTCTACTCCACTTATTAATCCCAACTAGGTCATGATTCCTTTCTCCTAACATCACCTTCTAGAAGACTCTCAAGTCTCCTAACCCTAGGTAATATTCTAGAAGGAATATTCCCTATCTCATGGAATATTAAATAAGGAATAAAATTAATTCTTAAAATCCTAATAAAATTAAATAATAATATATCCCACTAGAATATTATTATTGCTCTCCCCATTTGGCTCCAATTTAATCAATTAAGTCAAACCTCCACTTGATTAATATTTATTAATCTTATTGATCGATTTACCTCCCTATGTTTAAGATATAACGTCCGTTGATTAATTAAATTACTGACAAAATAATTAATCAACTTCTTATTCATTTTCGAAACTAGTACCACTCAGATCTTTAATCATTATGTCGGACACACATCCGCCTGCAGGGCTTGACATAATATTCCTTCCTGAGCTCATCTCGAGGACGTCATCAATCCAGCGCACTGGAACATAGTGACCGTAAATAATTTATAGCGAGTCATATAAACATCCTCATTTACCAAAGTACCGAGTACGTCATCCTAACGGAATAGGAATCACCCTTAGTAAATCAAATAAAAAAAGTAATGAATATACACGCCTATTTTATATTATCTTACAGCTTTAGAGAACGCATCAATAACTGAAGGTCGAGATTACAACAACGATCAGTGAGTCTCATAATCTTAGCCTTCCACGGTCCTGTTCAATACTTAACATAAGTACTAGTGTAGTTCTCCAGTCAAAGATCAACTGAATCAAGAATACACTACAGTCTTTTTCCAATTGGGGTCTCACTGCCAGTCTTGACTGTGAACAAATAATTTAGTCTTACAAGGAACCGATAGGTGACCTTTCTGTTCGAGACACCACGAACCACACTATCTCAATGTAAGACAAGGAGTATGATTGCATAAATAAATAAACTGCAAGCATATGTACTTTGACCGAAACATGATTGCCAGATCAAAATGGAATTGTTCATATCTTAAAGCCAAGCTTTTACAGCATATCTAACAGTCTATACTCATTTAGGTCACTTGGATAGCTTTTACACCTTTAGGTTGTTTTAGGTAGTTTTAGCACTCTTTGGTTCACTTAGCACACTTGGATCATGCTTTAGGAGTTTTACCACCCTTTGGGTCACTTGGGTCGAGCTACCGGTCGTTCCAGTTGAGTTTTAGCATTTAGGTCAAGTCTTACCATTTGGGTCGTCTGACTAAGCACTTTAGGTCATCCGACTAAGCACTTCGCGTCGTCCAGGTCGAGTTTTAGCATTTAGGTCGTCCGGCTAAGCACATTGGGTCGTTCAGGTCAAGTTTTAGCATTTAGGTTGTCCACCTAGGTATTTTGGGTCAACCGGCTAAGCACTTTAGGTCGTCCGGGTTGAGCATTAGCATTGATGTCGTCAGACTAAGTACTTTGGGTTGTTTAGGTCAGTTTTAGGTCGTTCGGGTTGGTACTTGTCATTTAGGTCGTTTAGGTCCTTGGCATGTAGTTTTGGTCGATCTTACCATTTAGATCGTTCGGATCGATTGGGTCATTCGGCTTGATCGAGTTGTCCACGTCTAGTTGTGGTCCTTTTTAGCTCTTCTACGACCTATTTAGTTCATTAAGTTCTTTTATGTCTCCAAACGGCCCATAATGAAGTGTCTAGGTTGTTTAGTCCGTTTGGGTCTAGTAAGGCCACTTTTTTGGGTCGAGTTAGGCCTTGAGTTACTTCGCATATTTTTTATCTGAGTTTTATGCTCCTAGAAATCCCAATTGGGTCGAGTTTCATACTTGGCACATATTCGGGTCAACTTTACACTTAGCACACATTCGGGTTATTTGGCTCAGTACTTGGTCGACTGACCTCCTAGAAGATCACAATGCGGCCGGCTTGGTGACTCGATTGAGTTGACTAAATTGAGCGGTCCACGTCTAGCTATATTCGCATCTATATCAACTCATATCCCAAAATACATCCAAATATAGATATATCCATATTTTTACATTTCACATTGTAGACATCGAATATATAATATTTTATTAATTAATGTCTTTATTTATTTTTGACATAAATTCAAATAAATAAGATAAATAATTAATAAAGTAATTATTTCTTTCCCACCAAGTCAAATCTTAGGATAAGGAATGAGATTTTATCAAATCATGACCAATCAAATTGATATTTTTTTGTCCAATACTTTCTCTCTTATACACCTATAAATATGGGCTCTCCCAAAGCCAAAAGACGCACCTTAGAGCATCCACAATGCATTGAGTTCAGTTTTACATATGTGGCATATAAATAGACTTAAGTCCTTAATGACATGGACGAACCTAAGTAAAAAAAATCTAACAGTTATCCAGTGCAAAAATAAAATACTAGGTCTATAATACCTGTCAACCAATAAAAATGCTCTAATATATTTTCTATATTAAAAGAAAAATTAAAATAAGAATAAATATTGATTGTTCAACTTTGTACTTTGGTCCAAAATAGACCCAAGTGTAGACTTGATCTCATTTTTATTGCTTGCCACCTAAGTTAGGCCTTGTCCACTTTTAATTGCATTAGAAAACATTTTCGAATAGACTACGTCTATTTCCTACATGACATATGATATTTTTGTAAGAGACCCAAAGCATTGCGGGTGCTGTTACAGTTCAAGTTTCAAATTCAAGAGCTCTCCAGAATTCTATTGAAGATCCAAGTCATTTCAAGTTGAAGATCGACGTTCAGCTATGAATCAAGCCTCCGAGCCGGAAGCTCAATGGGGGAGAGGCCAAGAAGAAGGAGAAGAAAAAAAAAAAAAAAAAAAAAGAGGCGCCAATTCTTCTACATGAAATAAAGAAAGGACATCCACTTCTCTCAAATCAGTTCAAGAACATCAACGACATTCAAGCGACATTCAAGTCGCGTTTGTTGAAAAGTTCAAGCAATATAACGTTTGTTATAGAAAAAAGCTATCAGGCCCTCGAGTCAACATTATTCAAGCCAAAATCCAAATTATAGAAAGATCGAGAAAGCAAATCCTTCAAGAAGTTGTCTTCAATTAAATTAAGTCCTCCAAGAAGTTGTCTTCAATTAAATTAAGTCCAAAACCCTCAATTAACGTTAGACAAATTCAAGCTAAAGAATAAAAGAGATTCAATCGTCAAATCCATTTAAAGATCAAATTCAAGTCCACGAAGAGAATACTCAAAGGCTCCATATAGCCTTGGCATTTTTTTTAATCCCGTTGAATAGCTGTGGTGGAGGGCTTCAAATGCGTCTAGAGTCGCCAGGTGAGACATTCGGTTCACGAACTTGGGATTGTTCCCACAATGTCATTTGATCGAAATAAAATTAAGTTATACAAAAGTTTTATATTTTTCATAAAGTTCATTGTAATAAATTTGGCACGCCCAGTAAAGCTCGAAGTAAATTTGTTACACAAATCATATAAAATCTAGTTTTATTTTATTTGAATTAGAAATGTTCCTTTTTATTCATAGAAATTTCAAAATCCTGTATGACAAAGACATCCCAAATAAAACCATGAAATGCATTTCTAATGTATTCAAGTATTGTCGTAGGCCGTCAAGAATTGAATGTATACCTGTCTAGCACTGCCATAAAAATTGGATGTATTGCGTTGGCATAATGAACAAGCAGCTAATCTTCCCGATTCTGATAATTTATTTAATCAAGGTTTCGATCTTGGGAGAATCAGTTAGGCTTGAAAGGTTACACGTTGCCTAGGAGTACTAGCAATGAAGGCCTTCATTGCTCAAACTAGAAGGTCCTGGTCGATGATGTTGCCATGAATGACTTAATTCTTCTCAATTGATAAACATTAATTTCAATCCTATTTTGATATTCTGTGAGCAGCTCTCTTCCTTCTTCCTTTATCGGCAAATGCAGCATAGAGGGTAAGCTTATTTAGTGATCAAGCTAGTGAAAGACTTTTTCTTTACATCTTTATCAATTTAACTTCTTTTGTTTTCATTTTATCAATTTTCCTCTAGATACATGTACAAGCTAACAGAGCAAGGTTTGGCCTCTGCAAACTAATTACGGCTAGTAACGTGTAATGAACTATTCATATAACTCGAAAGATTGTAGATCTGTACAACCAATAGCAATGAATTTATACAAAAACTCACCAATAACAAAATTTTGTACCCACTATACATAGCTACACTACACCCAATTTATCTCCATCTCAAAAGCTTTCTCACCAGCCATTCACCATGGCCTGAAAGATGCCCATCACCATTTAAGTATGTATATGGCTGTTAGGCAGTCTCATAACTGCATATATCAACAGGTGAGACTATTCGTTCTTGATCAAGGGTAGTTGGAACTGTAACCATTTGTCAATCCAAACTTAAATATGAAGCGGGACCAAATGGAAATAATCCCAATTTTCAAAAGTACCCCTCCTACCAATTTAAAGAATTTAAGGTCCTTCTCCCCACAGCCCCCAATAACTGCCTTTTTTTTTTC